AAATTTTCCCTTCGAATTAATATTAATATATGGTCTTGTTTCACCCTCTTATTGAAGTCAAATACCTTAAATTTCTCATTCCAGAATCATGTTAGTAAGGTATTTCCATCCTGAGTGCTTTAAGCAGTATAATTCTTAACTTCAGAGTTTTATTGTACAGAAAGTACTTTGTAGCTTTGCGTGTGTGTGTGTCTGTGTGTGTTTTGTACATCACATAGCAATTCATTATATATCAGGTTGTCTAACTGAATGAATATTCAATAGGAAACGAGCTTGTTCCTCTACTAGCAAATGTACTTATATGAAACAGATGTTTTCAGGGTTTTTTTACATATATAGTTGACATGTACACTTAAAAATATCATTAAATTCCATTACAAATACTGCATACACAGGCTTTGTGTGCAATAGAGGGGTTTCCAAAGCATGACCCTGAAGGACATAGATGAAATAAATATTAGTGACCTCTGTAATCACCATAGAAGCCATAGAAACCCCATTCATGTACTCTAAATAGGTTTAAATTAAATGCCCTTACTAAGGGTAGTGGGGATGAGCATGTTAACTCCATCCTTCCATTGACATTTCTGTCATCCTCCACATCAAGAGAACAATTCTCTGAAATGTAAAGCCTAATCTAGCTGTGAAAGCATTCCCAGTGGTTTAGATCCTTCAAAAATTGGGGTTCTAAATTACAGCAAGAGTCTGCATGAATAAAAGAGGGCTTCCTTTTTCTAGAAGTCACCTCCAAATTGGGAGTGGGCCCATTTATGAGAACGGCTAATGTGCCAACACATTTACTTTAACCCAAAATAGAATGCATGGATAGGGCTACAACATGGATGATGCAACTGTGTTGTTGGACTACAACTCCCAGCACCCCATACCCTTGGCTATATTGGCTACGGTTGCTGAGACCTGTACTTGCTATCTCAAAGGCCACTTGTTGCTCACCTAGGAACTGTCAGCAACCAGTCACTCCAGGCTTTGACCATCTATAACAATTCGCACTGACAATTTCAATTGTAAGTGATTTACATACCTAAACCCAATGAGACCAAGCCACTGATAGCATCACAACTGTCAGCCACTTGCAGCAATAATTTGAACACAGGGAAACTACAAACACTGCAACTGCATTTTCCCCCAAGAGGTGCACATTCCCACAATCACAGAAATACCACAACCTTAGAGAATTTTTACTTCAGTTTTAAATAAGGTTTCAAGGGGGAGGGAGGGGAAAGTTCTCTGAAGAAGGCATTTTCAGCAATCTGAGGGAAGTTAGAAGGATTCTGCTTCTTCATTCTGAAGAAAAACTTTGCATTCTAATAGATACACTAGAACAGTGGTTCTCAACCTTGAATAACTCTGGAATTCTTGGACTGCATCTCCCAGAAAACCCCCCAGCACAGTTGCTGGTGGCGGTTTCTGAGAATTGCAGTCCAAGAACACCTGGGTTGCCCAACGTTGGGAACCACTGCCTAAAATGTTGCAATTCAGCATGAGACTGTGTTAGACGCAACTTCTTTTTCCAAATTTTTAACTTAATACTTAATTTGGTAAAAACAAACTAGAAGATTTGGATGGGAAAAATTAACAAGTGGACATGCTTGTTCCACTTTTTTTCTGTTGCTGTTTTTAAAAAATCCTATTGAATACTACAAGGTATATGATGAATTACATCAAGAAATCAAATTATGTATCATTAAGATTTCTTTAAGCTAGAACATCATGAGGCAAGTTGTAAAAAAAGTATACTTTCTAGCTGCAATAATATCAGGAATAACCAAATTTTACTCTTAAGCCATTCATACATGAACCCAAACCACACAATGTGCAAATTTCTGGCTGCTACCTTTCTATATCATTTACCCTTGCACCTTAGCCCTTCTCAGATTCCTCCATGAAGATTTCCCAATGACAGGCCCTTATACATCCTATATTAACCATCTCATTTGTCATTGTCCTCCATTATAATCTGATCCTACGCAAAATTATGCCCCAATAGACCCATATGTAGAAACAAGTTACCATGTCCTGTCTGGATTCTCCTCTTATGTTCTCCCACACATGCAAAACGATTGCCCGTGAGAGAGAAATGCCACATCAAGCGCCTGGGCGTGGAATAATCTCAAATTGGAAAAGAAAGAAAAATCGGATGGGCAATGGTTGTAGCTCAGTGGTTTGCAAAGCCTATTTTGTATTATCATTAGCCCAGGTTCAGTCCTAAGCATCTAACTCACAGAGTCAGGAAAGCTTCTGATCTGAAACCCTGAAGGCTTAGTTGGAAACATTAGATAATAATTTGCTCAGTGTCTAATTCAGCATAAAATAGCTCCCTATCTTTCTAGATGGCTAATGGGCCTAATGAACTACTACCAGCTTACTCTCATCATAGTCTTTTTGCACTTAGTTTTATACCAAAGAGCACAAAACACTCAAAACAGTCTTCATTCTTTCCTAGTATAGAATGTAGAGGCTCCATGATCCTCATCTAAATAACCATGTTGGATTATGTGTGATTCAACCCCACTGTGTTGTATTAATAATGTTCCTCTCTAGGGCAGGAAGCACAAACCTTAAGACATATTTGGCTACACACAGTCCAGCTCTCGTGTAACAACTAGTAACATTACAATATTTGGTATGAAGAGACAAAGAAGCTTGTGGCCAGAAGCTACTACTCTGCCTCTTATTACTTCTTTCATAAATCAGTACAGATCAATTTGGAGCAACATACTAGGATGACAGCACCCATATTTCATTGATTCTTTGGATTACTAGGCTGATATTCAAGAAGGGGAAAAAAAACACTTGAAGCTGAACAGTATGTAAAGAATGACAATGGTTGTTATGGCCTATTACCCACCTAAGTCCCCACCCCACCTTTGGATTTCCGAATTTAAATACTGGACCAAATGGTGAAAAAAATAAAATAAATGTGTCTATTTAATAGTGTGTTTATGTTTCTACTTAACAGTGCAGTTTTTCTCATTTATGCCATACTCAGATACACAGAGCTCACCAGTTATTTCATTTTTAAAAAATCATTCAATTGATAAAAATCAGAATATTGGAGTACTGGGTAGAAAATGTTTAAATCGAAGAGAAAAAACTAGAGGAAAGATTAGATTATACAGTGGCGTGCTTACAGAAGAGTAATTGGAATTATTCTATTATTCCAGAATAAGAACACTGGGGACCTAACCCAGCCCTTGCACTGACACAAAAGATGAGCTGAAGCTGCTGTGCATAGCAACATCTACCAACACCACATTTCAAGAAAACTCCTTTGGTTGGAAACAGATGAGAAAAAAATCCCCCAACTTCCAAAGTTGAAGGTGAAATGGTATCACTTTCATTGCACATAGCATACACATTCACCCTACAGTCATCTTTGTCTACAACATTTTGTAGTGCTTTGAACACACAACCTCATCAGAGATGACAGCAGAAGAGAAATTGGTGCACCCTAGATAACAATATATATGCTCTCTCTAGTACTCTAAAAAAAGAAACATACCATTGTCTGCCTCCTGTTTTGAAAACAAAAATGGAAAAAATTGAAAGACGAAATTGGGTAAGAACCATCCTAAATTCAGGTTGACCACTAGAACTACTATTTAACATACATTTAGCATCCACAGGGTGCTAGTCACAAGTGTATCAAGATCAGTGCAACTGTGTACATCTGCAGTGTAGATTGTACTCTAACAAATTAATAATCACACTTTTTATGATTAAACTGCATGAATTTACACAATTCCTTTTGCTACAAGACAAAACTCCTTGTAACTCCTATATAGCTACCTATATCTTTAGAATGAGGGTGTTTGCACAATTTGTACAAATTAGAGGCAGAAGTAAGGGTTCAATCAGACAGGATAGTGTCAGATCACACCAGAAAGAGTCCCTTTGCTAGGAGTAATGTAAGCTACTTCCTCATCAGATCACACCCAGATTGCCTCTGCTTTATTTTTCTCTGAGGTATGCTTTTCCTAAAACATACAAATGTCTCCTTTGTTTAGGCAGGAATGGCACAGCCCTATTCAAATATATGGTTTATTTCTTGGTAGCAAATCAATAATATTTTATGTTTCGTAACCCTACATGGACTTATAATTGAAGCGTGTGTGGGGTTCACGCCCAGCCCCCAAAGTCTGAAGAGGCTCACTCCCAACTATTACATTAGGTTTAAATGAATGACAATGTCATAAATGGTTGTATTTTAAAGTAATGTAATTAGCTTTGGCTTGTTCTTGTTCTCAATAGTCCCGATAACTTAAGCACAGCTAGAATAGGTACCTTTTAGCAAGCTGAATTTATAAAATACAGTTATGGTTCTGCAGCCCCCCAAAAAGCACAAATATTATAGTGGTCAGAAGTTATCAGAAGGAAGAATAAAAGCAACTTGCTTGATTATTGAAGCAATATTCTCTTTATCAGTTTGCTCTTCTTAAGAACATGTGCCTTACTATGTAATTTAAAACTTACTATCTTCCTTCCCTCCTTTCTAGAAGGCAGATTATGATTTCATCTGGTTTGTGAATAAAACTTCAGGAGTGTGGTGGAAGGGGCTAGCTAGGAGGCAGGAAGGATGGGAGGTGGGAAACCTCACCCAGGAGGCAGTTTGGCTTAGGTCAGTGCCTCTCCTCCTGTCTTGCCAGCCAACCTAGCTCTTTTACCATGACAATGCTGCTCTGGAGGGAAGATGTCTCAAGATGCCAGGAGACCAGGTGAAATGGTGGTGGCTTACCTATACAACATAGTGTTTGTTTCCCTCTAGTGGCCAGTCTGTTAATTACAAATTGAAAATCCGTATTTTTAGGTACTTTCATTTAATATTTTTTAGCATTTTCAGACTGGATAAGTGAATCAGCAGACATGGGGATCCTACTGCACAGCCACCTTTTTCTTCATTTAGAGAACTGGTTCTTAACCTTTGTTACTCAGATGTTTTTGGACTGCAACTCCCAGAAGCCTTCACCATCAGCTGTGCTGGCTGGGGTTTCTGGGAGTTGCAGTTCAAAAACATCTGAGTAACAAAGGTTAAGAACCACTGATTTAGAGCACCAGTCCTGTGTAGTGCTAAGAGCTGTCAGCTCCTGTGAAAATTAACAAGAGATGACCATGCACAACAGTTTGCAGTAAGGGAGCTGTATCCCACATACCAGCAACGTATTAATTTCCTACAATATCACTCAGTACAGGACACAGCTCTAAATGTCTTGTGCCCTGCAGAGTGGGGAGAAGGGCCTGTGTTATATATTTAATATAACGTTGCTCAAACCACCTTATCTATTATTGAATGGAATTGGGGCTTTGAAACTATAAAGCCAGAAAAATAGACTTTCGATATGATATCATGTTCACTCTAGAAAAGAAGCAGCAGGGAGCTTTTTTTATGCCCAGTTAAGAATTCTACCCAAAGGTAACATTTGAACAGAATAAGTCAAGAGCCAATGAAATGAGCTTTGCATTAAAATTACACTTTCAGAGCCCTTTGCCAAAAACAAAGATAAAACTTAAGAAAACTTTCTACAGTACTGGTATTTACAACTGTTTTACATATATACATATTTATATATTTCTTAGAACCTGGACAGTATAGCAGTAAAGGGTAAATTTAAAATTTACAAACAAAACATTTTAGATATTTATAACTATACCATGAAGAACTTTTTTATTGCTCACCTTCAAACCTCATACAACTTTATCACGCTATTGCACACATTTCTGTATTACACAGATCTACATTATATATAAATAGGTATGAAAATAAGGATTTTCTATATTAATGTTTCAAATAAAGTGCTCATTTTTCCAACTATTGTTGCAGAACAAGTATGGTTTTGTCAGAGGGGTTAAAGGACTATAGCATGGGGCAGTAATGTTTCATCCTTCTTTTTGTGTTGTATGAAGTACCTTATTTGATGTCAGAATACCAGTCTTATTTCTGTGTTCTAATCATTAGAATGGATTTGTGACCTTGCCATCAATATTTTTCATGCAGAGCAAAGACCAAAATCACACTGAATGAAACTTTTTTTAAAAAAAGAGGAAAATAAATAAACAAGTAATAATATATTTTGATTTGAGTATGAGTGAGTTTCCACGCCTTAAGGTAATTTTGAATTTGTTTTAGAAATATTTATACAGTGTTGATAAACTTTGCAATATCTAGGTTATGCACTATACTCAAGTACTGTACAAAACTGCAATAAATGACACTATACGACTACATTTGTTTCTACTATAAAGACACCATTGTCAAGGTGCATTTTTAAAGGTCAACTAATAACTGCTAATATGTACATGAATCAAAATACTTTTGATTGGCCAAATGCATTATTAAAATTTAAATACAGTACATAATTGTTTGTGGTGGTATGATTTACAGGGTCTTTAGGAGTATAGGGAATATTAGCAAAGGTTCCACAAGAAATAGTCAATGGATCAGTATTAAATATTATACAAAAACAGAGGCTCCAATTTTGTTTCCATTTATGATTAAGTACTGATGGCACACTGAAGCTTATTTTCTTTTTTAAAAAGTCCATCTTTTAGCAAAATCATTCCTAATATATAAAATTGTTTTAAGTTGATTGCAGCAAAATGTAAAGATGCAATTTACAAAAGCAGCAATAATCCTTAAATATGAGGGCACCCTCATTAAACTGAAATTAAAAAGCACTGTTTCCAGTGTCAGTTATGAACTCACAAACAGTATGAAGAGAGCCTCTTAAGGCAGATTTCACAAAAAAACGTACTTTGGGGGGGAAAACATATATAGAATTGTTATATTAAGAACATACCCAGCCCTGAAGAATATGTGAAAATTTGTTCTGGACATTTGGCTTTTTTTTAAGTTATAAAAGTGTCATTTCACAAGTCAGGGCTGATCCTGCAAATTGCCTTGTGAATATCTACTATATGCAATTTGCTGCTAGATAATTATGTAAACCCCAAAACAAGAATTTGGAATGTTGCTCTTCATGGAATTTGGAGGAGAAAAGTGTCCATACCATTATGACCCTTACATTTCCATCTGTATGCTGTTGTAGGAGGTCCTTATGGGAGTCACACTATGTCTGATAATTATAATTTTATGAATTAGTTTTCAGGAGCTCACTCATCACTTGCAAGAATGACATGCCAACTGATTGCATGAATGGGCCAACATCACAGATATAACACCCCAGCTATGAGCCATTCTTTATATCACTTCAAACATATGGATTGATTCCAAAGAATATAGTAGGGGAAAAAATCACTTACACTGATCTTGAGCCAGCATCTGCCCAGTGTAGGTCCTACAGCAGTTTACATGCTTCCATCTGTGCAAGAGCTTGCACAAGAAGCTGTGCCAGTGGAAGGACATGTTTGGATTTAGTTCCACTTTTCTCATAATGTATAACCAGTGCACATCCATGCTCTTCAGTGAAGCAGAATGAAGACATTTGTATATTCAGCTGCAAATCAGCTACCACACAGTAAGCAAACCATATAAACACAAACTGTCCCTCAGGCTGCTCCACTGAAAAATTCAGAATTCTTAACAGTTGAAAATGATGGTTCTCTTGCTTTAAAAAAAAATCTCATTGAAAAAAAAATCAACTCATTTTACTATCCATTATTAACACCCCTGATTCTGAACATGCATTTGGAAGTAACTTCTTTTATCCCATTGTAGCAAAAACAGAAACATCCCATCTTGAAAGACAAACTCTCCTTCCTCTATATATCTACATAAGCTTTTTAAGGAGTGAAATGCTCACAAGAGTGCTATATAAGGAGCACTCTATAGGAACTCTCTATAGAAGATATCTCTGATAAGTCAAGCAAAAATGTAAATCATATTTGAAAGACACATAATCCAAATTCACTGGGATTGAAGAATCTATATATAAAATATGGGATAAACAAATAGTTTTGATAATCAAGAGTGAGAAAGTTTATGTGGTTCACTTTGGTATAGCACAGCTGTTTCCAATGCACATTATTGATTTCTGTTGCAATGTAGTGCAGCTGGTAGGACTGGCCTCCACTCCTTTGATCCCAAAGCCTCCTGCATTATCTGCATTTTTAACAGCACTGCTGGAAGTGCAGAAAGAAAAGGGGCTCTTGCTGGAGCAGCAGAATATTGCCCTGCTCTCAGGGAACTTGAGCTAACAAGAAACCTATTTCTTCCTTACACTTACAGAGGAACCCTCTTGCCCAGTCCTTTTGCTCCAATAGGAGAGCTCTGAACACACCACAGAACTAGACTTTAATCACTAACTCCAAAGCCCGACTAAAAGTAGGAAATTATTAACCCTGACATTCCAATAGCTTTTACACATAACTTGCATTTGTGATGATTGCTAATAAGAGAATACTTGAGCTTGCCACACTTCTATAATATTTACATGGGCACTGCTACTGTAAGAAATTATTTAAGATTATTTGTTTAAAAAAATCTCTCTCTTTTAAACGATAGCTTCTTTGCATTAAAGTAGAATCAGTCATTTTATAGAAAAATATCTTAAACTTTAAATTAAAAAAATAGTGTTACTAAATAGTTATGTAGGACCATATATGATTGTATGGATATAATTCAGCATATTTGAATCCAAGTTTAGGAGAACTCACATGGATAGGAGAGCAGACTATTTTGGCCATGGGTGCCATCTGTATTTTTCAGATCCCATGAATATACTTTGTGCACCTCCTTTGGAGATAAACAGACTAGATACCTATATACATTCTGTACATATTGGTTCACAGATTAGCAGTTATTAGTCGTACTGTACATAGGAAAACAATCTGATTATAATGATGCCATACACCCTCAGCAGAGAATTAAAATTTTAGTGTGATGGAGCAAATCCATGTAAAACAGGTTCCCTGTTTAGATATGTTGCCCAGTATACCAAGTTGAAAGAACCAAATAAGACTGGAAAAACTATTCTTGACATCCTGTCAATTTTACTAACACTGTTGAAGGTTTTCTTTGCTTCTGCTGGCTTGGCTTCTGGCTTTGCCTTGTTAGGTTCTGAAGCGGTGGTCGTGGTGGTGGCGGTAGCACTCTTGGAGATTGTAGGGAGAGCCGAGTCTTTGGTGATATTTGGGGCATAATTGGCAACCGCCACTGCATAAGCATTGTTTTTCTTAATGACAGATGCCTTTTCTTTTTTCTGTTAAAAAGACAGTGTATGATTAGAAATCATAGATATTATATCTGTATCAGCACACTTTGCATAGACAGTGGGCTAATTCCTCTCACTAGCATTGTGACTTCTCCCCTCCACCTCTACCATACAGTATAAAAAAACCCTTCTTCAACAGGATTCCCAGCACTCTAATATTTTAGAGTACACTATACAAAGGAAGGAAACTTAAGTCTCTTCTTGCTTCTATTGGTGTGAGCCACTTACACCAGCAGAAGCTGAAAATTCAACTTGTTATTTTTATCAAATCAAAAGTTTAGCAGTATATTTTAATGCTTCAAAAACCAACAAAGCCTGTTTTGAACATAAGCAAGAGTGGCTTGAAAGAAGTACCCCCACACCCTGTGGGAAGAGCTATATTTATCAAATATTCCTCAGGTCTTAAGAACAACAAGGTACACCAGTGGCGAGAAATCTTTTTCTGCCTAGGGCAGTGTCTCCTTTGTAATACCTAGCAGACACATACCAGTTTGGACCAATGGAAACCAAAATAGGCAAACCTGCCCCTTTCTATGTTTTTGTCTCACCCACTTACTAGGCTATTGAGAAAGTAACATAATGTTCTTGCAGAGGTCTTTTGAAACAAGATAAGGGTCATTTGTTGCTCTAGGGTTCCATGTTATTCATCCTGTGTTGTATAAACTACCTTTAATTCTACTATTGTGTGTTATGTAATGAAAAGATAAACCACTACAGAAAGATCTGTGACAAAATCTTAGGAAGCTGAGCAAATACCTAAACGATGGAAAGCCCCCTCCCCAAAAAACAAAATTTTCAATTTCTAAATTTATGTAAATTTTAACTACTAGGTAAAATAGGAACAGTTTTTAATCCTACCATGATGAACATGTAGTGGTCACAACTCCACTGTTTAAATTAATGTCATCCAACCTAATGTATTCAGAACGTACATATCTAAAGAAGCTACAAATTCTAGCAAAGTCTAAAGTTCAAATCTACACTTGGCTGTGATGTTAACTGAATGACTTGAGACATTCCTTCTTTTCACCTAGCATACCTCAAGAGATTTTTGTGAGGATAAAATGGGTGCATTTTATAAATAACCCAATAATTATCTATGTGTTCTATCCTAAGCACACTCGTCTGGTGAAAATAAGAATACAAACAGAAGTTTCAAATGTGATTGCACAGAGGAGTATGTTCCACAGGTTATATTTCATGGCCTTGCTTTGCCTAAAAATCAAAAAGAATATTTGGCTCAGTGGAAAGTCACTGATGTTATTAAGTGGTTCAAGGCAGAGATATAAATCCTTACTTCTGTCAACTTTACAGGTGAGGATAAGGAACTGCAAAATTGTTCTCCTCTTCCTGCAAAAGGAAAATATTTATATTTTCTCATGATATTGACTCATGAATGTTATGTAAACTGTGTATTTTGTGCAAACTACACATCTTTCACAAAATATGTATTATGCACTATTTGTGCAAGTTACCTAAAATGTCAATTGCTGCCGCCTCCTTTTGTGAGCTTTTCAGAATCAGAAGCATTGGGCAGATTGTTTCTGGTCTTTTAAAACAATCACCCAGTTCTTTTGTACTTGTGCGCATGCTATCTCTCTTCTGAGAGAGAAAGAGTGCAGGAGCATTTTGCTTTATATAGAGAAAGGGCACTAGGTTATGCAGTCTACTACAGAGACATTGTAGAGAAATTGCAGAAATCTTAACAAAAGGAAGCACTTCCTGTCTCATTTTCACTCTGGCAGTGAAGAATTTTGTAGTGTTGAGACAGCTCAAGCTGGCAAGAATGAAGAATTTAATGAGCAGTTTTCACATCCCTAGGCCAGGAGATGTGCCTTAATTAGTGAAAAGGGAGAAATTGGAAGAATGGAAGCTCCAGCCAACGTGGTTCCTAGCTCTGATGATTTAGGAATTATAAATATTCCATGTACAGAAGTGAACCCTGGACATATGGAGGTGATTGCTAAACTTTAATATATGCACATAAACAACCTTGATTGGCCTGTATATGCAGTCTTACATGGAAAGTTTTACCTCTTATCTTCAAGCTTGCAAAGAAATTCTGGATATTATTTATAGCTTCACTTTTCTGCATAGATTGTTTTCCTCCTCACCCCAACTCCAATTTTGCTTGGTTCACTTTATGGAAGGATATCAGTTTAAGCCTTTATGTCATGCCAGTACAGAGGTTTGGGAGCTGTATTCCTGGACTTGGAAGGTTGAAGCTACAACTGCTGCTGCAATTCTCACCAATTTTTCTTCCTTTTTATTAACTGAAAAAGGCTCTTGGTGCCTTCTAGTATATTGTTACTCGACATCAAGTTGTCTCTGACTTATGGCAATCCTACAGCCTCGATAATATCTCTGACTTATGGCAATCCTACAGCCTCCATAATATCCTGTCCTCAACAACTGTGCTCTGCTCTTATAAACTCAAGGCTGTGGTTCCCTTATGGAGCCAAATCATCTCATATTAGGTCTTT